ACGCTATGTATGCCAAGAAGGCAATATATTTTCCTTTTATTTGATGGTGACGCCTATTGTACTTGTCTGTTATTTTATTATATTTGACTATTTCGAAAATGTTGAAACCCATTTATTTTGTGTTCATGAACTTGTATTTCCCTGTGCAATATTTGTATCAATATCTACTGATTGTTATGTTATTTCAAACTTTCTCTATAATTTGCTATGATTGTGTTTTTGTACATCTTACATTCAACTGTATATATATGTTCAATTAATTATTCTTCATATTGTACCACAGACTGTGTCATTTTTCAGGTATTTGAGGTATTGAAATTTAAAATAAAAGTTATTGTGAGTTACAAATTACCGTTGTGACGCTATTATGACGTCATAGCTTATCATATCACAGCGTTATGTAAATCGATCCTCCGTTCGTTCACATCAAAACAAATCTGTCTTAACTGAATTTAACAACAAAACCGAATTCCTCACTGCTTCATATGATTTCCAAAGGAGGTCCGAAGTGTGATTGTATGTTCAGCTTCGTCTGACACTTCATCTTGCTGAAAAACCTCCCCCCCCCCACCTCATGTAACATGAGGCAGTGTGAAACATCATTACTTTTTAAATAACATGGCATGGATGTTTGTCTTAATAATAGATACCTGAATCACTCGTTAGACCTTATGTCCATTTTAGCTGTTAGATCATAGGGATTATGCAAATAATGAAAGATAAATAAATATAGATAGAAAACATAGCTGAGCTCTAAATAATTTTGAACGACTGTACAGGAATATTACACACGCCCTGTGGTAAGTTACAACTTGACATGATTCCACCAGCTCATTGCTGAGATAATGAACACATTATTTGTATTGTATTTGTAAAATTTCAGAGAAAAGAAATAATTTTTACAAAAGCGATACGCGTCGTGAAACGCAGTCGACTGAACAAAAAGTAATAATTACGATTTGGCCCATAAAGGCCTTATGAACAATTGATTTTATTTCAATTTTAACGTTTATAGAAATGTACACGCTATCTGAAAACTTGATACAAAAGATAGTTAGACTTCTTTTATACCATGATTGTTATTGCTGATTCAAAGTCCCACCAATGGCATATACATCTCTCATTTCTTTCTACATGCCATTGTTTGTAGCACATATGTAGACTTTTTAAAACGACATTGTCTTTTTTCGTCAAAACTATTAAGGGTTTTGTAGAAAACGACTGGCCTTAAAAATCAATAATTACTTTGGGAGTATGGGTGTGATTAAATACCACTTGTCCAGAGATGATCTATGATGACATCTGTGTCACTTGTTTCATGTAAACATCAAGTTCAATACAGACAATATTTGATTATGACTCAGAATACTTTATAACAGTTGCCACAAGTAGAACAAGATTCGCTCACTGTTTTCGAAGCTCCTGACATAACTCCATGTATACCATGGAGGCAATGTAGCTTTCTTTTCATTTGACGATGTAGCGTAATGTGCTTTTCATTTTTTTTTATTTTATATTTGTATTGGACTCTTTTTGGGGGAATTTTGTAATCTGTTTATTTTGTGTTCTGAAACTTGTAAATTTTCCTATGCGAGAATCTCATCAAAAAATACTGCTAGGTATACTATTTCTAACTTCACAATTTACCATGCTCAATCGTGTTCAATTAATCCTTCCTCGTATTGTACCTCAGTCTGTCGCATTTTCTAAGTATTTGAGTTAATGTCATTGAAAGTAAAAGACTCTATGACACCGTTATTATGCATTTAAGATATCACTCAACAATGCAAACCAGTCCTCTATTTGTAATTAATTAACTTCACCAAAAACATACTCAATTAAGCTAAACTTGTATAACTCATTATGTCGGTGATTTATAACAACAATACTGAATCCCTACAGCTTCATACCGGCGTATAGGAGGTTCCTGACGTGATAATTTGTCCAGCTTCCCTTCTCCCTTTCATCTTACCATAAACGCGTCATCTCTTTCAATATGGCGCGATAGATGGATTCGTTGTTGTTTCAATAACAAAGCATTAACGGGATAATGGTTGTCATTACTTGTGTGCTCAATTGTTCATTTTGTAATAACAATTGAACATAGTTTTTAAAGCGTTTGATTTATTATTAAGACCGCCAAATACAAATTGTATGTAATTGAAATGAAGAAATAATATGTTGTCTTTCAATTCAGATAAGTTCAGCATGAACGCCACGTTTTTCATTGTTGTTCTGGCTTTCGGAAGAATGGTTCTGCTGAACCCAGCATGTGCAAAGATTAGTATTTTGAAAATTTATAACGGATATTTGCAACAACAACAACAACAACAACAAACTTAAACAGTGAATGAACGAGAAGCTTGTATAGGGTAAAACACGCTTAACATGTATAATGTTAACAATCAATTTAGTTACAGTACAAATAAACATTATAAAAACAGACGGCAATGAACCGCAACTAGTCATAGCATAGGTTTTGTAGAAATATGTTTTCTTACAGTACAAATGATAAAATTTTGTTATTTATATGTACATATAACAGTTATGTATCGTACATATTGTAAATATATGTATCAGTATTATATGATAAAATACACATTATTTAAGTACCTCCTGTAAATTGACAGTGAATATACCACTGATTTGTTCTGTAGTGAACAATGTGTGCCACAATACACAATTTAGTCTGTCTGCATCATCAAAACAGAATGTGCTTACTTAAATATTAATGCAAGATTGACAGTATAATTAATAATTTTCAATAACAAATATTATTAATATTTTATTTTTATTTTCAGATATCCACAGTCCAAAGCAGACTTCACCTGTCTCTATGAACATATCATCATCATCATCATCATAATCATCATCTACCTATCTGTTTTCTCTGTGAGTCTTTTTCTCATCATGCATCATAACTACCTTTCATTCTCTTCTCCCTCTGGGGTGGTGCCTTTTCTCTGCAAAACTAAACTTTGATATTTGTCATAACCTTCCAATTTTCTGTGATAATGTACTCCCTTTATTCCATTCTGCAAAATTTTCAGGCGATTCCAACATTGGACGAATATCTGTTTCAATAAAGGTGTCATTCTCTGGGGCATTAACAATTGTGAATGGAATCCGGCTTGTGTCAGACTGGAGGTTGGGGTCTCTCCATACTACATATTTTATCGGGCGTATAGACACACTGATAGCAAACACTTTCAAATTCTGGGAAACTCCTTTAAAATCCTGAAACGTGTCAGCACCGATCTCTTCTAACGTCTGCCTTTCGTTCTCGCTCTCAAGATCAAATTCAAATGTGTTCTCACTCAGTATATTCAGAAAACATTTCCAAATAAGGCCTTCAATATCATTTACACATTTATATTCTGAGAAGAGGTTTTTGTCACATTGCTCTGAATACATTTCAAATTATTCCTCAAAATAGATAATCTTGGTATTCTTGAAACATTTTCTGAGTGACTTCTCTAAGCCATCACCAGAAGTGATGGCTTTCTTAGAAAATGATATTAACAAACCAGATATAGCAAATATTATGTCTTTATTTAATCTATGTTGCCAATGTGCAGCCTCATCATCACCTGACAACTTCTCCGCTATAGCTTTCGATTTCTAGGATTTTACTAGTGTAGGCACGACTACCCGTGGCTAACGTGGAAAATGCTGACCTTCTGAACTCACAGTCCATGTGGAGGGGTTGTGCTGAACTGAATAAACACTAAAAGAGAGGCATCAAAAAATGTCCTTGACTGTCCTAGATTTCTTTTAACTTGTATGACCTGGACTGGCCTTTTTTTAATAATTATATTAGTAAATTGACTGATATCATTAACCACATGCGATCTAGCCGTCATTAGCTTAAATTTGTGGAAAACCCTGGCGTTAACAAAAGCGATATTGGTCATTCCCGTGACGAACAAATAGCTCGACCCAATAGCATAAAATCGTCTACAGACCATTCGGAGAGAGCAAACTGTTCTAACCTTTTCAAATTTAGCATTTTGTAAATTTTGTAAATTGAAAAAGCAACAAAAACCAACAATATTCGGTAAGTAAAAATTTTTGCTGACGATCGAGAACGTTCACAGTTCTTGATTGATGGCTGGATTTTGCAGCTGCTTGCTTGGCTCTCTTTGTTGGTCGTGGCATTATTATAATGAATGTGGAATTAAAATTGAAAGAACAATTTCAAAATCGCCTGTTATTTATTCAACGGTAAACCAGGATGTATTCGCGAAATGGAAATAACAAACTGCGCAGAACGATGCGATAATTTTCACTAATGCGCACTACAATACCCGTTGATACAAATCGCAATGAATTCTGGGTAAAATATCGTACCGGGATGTAATTTTTTAAAAGCTTCACATGTAAAGCAATATATAGTTTCGCGTACGCACGCCAAATGGTATCTCGGAAGTATTTAATGCTTAATGTAGTAATTGTCATTTGCTGTTTATCTTTCGAAACTCGATATATCCGTCTCACAACTTCTAAAGACGAAAACGTGTCATTTTTGGACACTTATTCTAGACATTCCAGAGCTCCCTGGCTCGTTCATAAAACAGACCGTCGTTCATGACCACTGAATATAATGAGTTTGCTATATTTCGACTTTGAAATTAATCGATAGATTAATATTTTTTAAACCATCCATACATTTCGCCAGCTATATGCGGCTTTATAACACATGAACTTTTGCTGACATCTGAAACTATAAGAAGTAATCGAATTAATATTATTCATAATAATGATTAAATAATTTAATATAGTTCATAATGATGATTAAATAATTTAATATAATTCATAATAATGATTAGAAAAATTGAATGTAAAAACACAAATTGAGAGATTGGCATATTATGTGGGAGACACAATTGATATTAAAAGTTCAAGCTGCTTGCAGGGACCACTTAGATTACGAGGCGGTTATTACATTTCTATTATATCTAAAAATTATTTAACGTGTCGCATATAATACAGTTCCATTTTCATATTGTGCACACAGCACACGTTAATTCGTGCCCTTCAATATATGGATCACACGGTAACGATCCACACACACCTTCAACAGCATATATTAAAACTCCATTCACGTTAGCACTGCTTCCGTACCGCGATTCAGCATTGCGATCAACACATATGAACTCTGTACGTAGATGTGTATGCCTTGATGTCATCAAATAACCATAGTACTCCCTTGTCCACTCTGAGGGACATACATTGCGAGCTGGAATCATTAAAAGCCTGCTACGAGATTTAACCAAACATACAGCACAGACAGCGTCGTGATGATGAAGATCGGAAAAAGGTACAAAAGTATGAGTACTATATTCAGTACCATACATCCTACCGCGATAAGTATCGGTACCACCCATGGGATTATCCCATATCGGATCTAGTGGCAGACACTGAAAGTTTGAACCACCTCCGTCGATATCAAAATCTTCACCACCAATGACACCTACAAATAAACATATCAATTATTCGTATAATATAAATAATTAATCAATGTGAAACAATTTGTGAATATGGAATGAACGCAAGAAAACGAATAATGGCGTTGAGGGGAGGAGCTGTATTATTATATATTGCAATGTTAATTGCTTGTATTGCACAAAATTGAACAGAACTGTAAGCGGTATTACGTTTATCATTATTATTAATGAAGAAACTATAATGTGAGATTGTTCAATAAATCACGTGATCCAAATTGAACACCTTTTATGTTAGGAAAGTGATTCAATGCATCCGCATAAGTTTCCTGAAATACATTGAATAAAATACATTGAATACATTTTAAGTTAACAAATACCTAACCATGTGAACAGTTTTAATGCAAAAATGCAGACGCGACGAATAACTTAATAAATAAAAAAGACAACTTATGCTTATGTATGCTCGAGCTTGCAAAAATTATTATAATGATAATGCCACACAAGTACAAATAAAAGATAAACTACCTTCATACACCAATTCGGCAGTTGAAGGACACGTTGTGCGACCCCAGCGAATATACAGAGTACCTGGTGCATCTACACTAGATGTTCTTTGTTCATAAATGCTACTTTGAGATTTCATCGCAAGTGATTCATCTATTAATAGAACACAAAGTTGCATATATTTGAAAGTAGATTTGGAAACATTGCAACACATGAAGAGAAATATATCGTCGTTTAGTAAATCATACCGTGTTGATGTATCGAATAACACTGGATATGGAGACATAATCGTATGTGAAAAAGTGTTACGTCTATTTCAGCAATGATAATATCATTTTAATTGATCAAAATCAAACAACGATAAACTTTGTGGCGGCGTGAATACAAACTTGCAAGTCTTTAGCAATCAGCGTTCTGTCATGAGCAGTATACATCTATCGAGTGAAACAGTATAATCTTGTCACAGGATGATCCACAAACAGATGTATGTTATTTTTCAAATAAGACTTGTGAATAGGTGATTTATAACACATCACATTCTGATTCTGCTACATTCAGATTGTTCCGTTTTCAGAGTAGCACCCCAATAAGCTCCTCTTTTGTTCATAATTTGTCGTACAGGATTGCTTAAAATAAAATATGACAATTTCAACGCATAGAAAGGTACAACATCGCGGAATCATTGTCCCCTTCTACCGAGTTAAACGTTTGTTTACAAATGATATACACGTGGGCAGTAAAGTATGTCTGAAGTCTTGCGACAGGTGACTTATTTATTTAACGTAAGCGCCTTTCAACAGAACTTACTTTTGAGTCCAGGCTTTATAGATGTTTACGATAGATTGAATTATTGTAAGTTTCGAAACTGTTGAGTGGTGTTCCTCGTTTTTGTAAAACAGTGTTATTAAATTGCCTAATCCCACGTGATATTGAACAGACTAATCACATCACATTGATGATATGCTTTATAATTACATTACGCATCTGTCTGTGTATCATCACAATTTACAATTTGCCAATAATTGTTCCTCGGTCACGATCGGTGTATCTGCATTATAAATTATTGGGAGATAAGAACAAATTGCGAGCGTGATTTAAAACGAAGTCTTTGTTCTCAATTTCGCGCGATACTGGGCTTCATATTTAAGTGGTTAGATTGTGAGAGAATACATACTGGTAATTTTATCACCAAGATATCTACTTTGGAATAATGTCAGAACACACCTAATATTGTATATCACTTACCATTGTATATCGAGCTATTAAATGAAATGTTCCTGTTAATCATTTTGCTATTTTCATTATTTTGCAAATACTCATTATTACGGTTATTGCCACTGTCGCTGATAATGTCAGATAATTCAAATACGATAGCCTGGAAGTATCACGAGAAATACATAGGATAGATAGATAAAAACTAAACATGATTTTATCTAGAATATTTACATATATAATTATGTTATACATTGAATAGTTGTCATTTAAATGCAAATGTAATGAAATGTATACGAATATATAATTGTAGACGTGTTATGTTAAAATACGTATTAATTAGAACTGCATGAAACAAATCCACGAAAATGCTATTTGACGGTGTACATATACTCTATTCATATCTCTCAGTTGTGATTACATTTTTAGTGTCACATTTCTATTATATATTTTGTTCACAAAGACGTATTATAAACACAAATGAAAATTTACCTCCAGCTCAGCGACTCTCAACAATAAACGTGCATTCACTTCCTGCTGCTGTTGCATCTTAACAACCACCCATGACATCATTATTATACATATTGTAGTAAATAAGACACATAGTGTGAAGCCCAATAGAAATATGTAACTTTTGATATTCACCGTGGTCTTTCCCTTGAATTGTGTCATCATGATTTAATGTACAAGGCAAACGACTGTAACCATCAGTTGCATGAAAGGAGAATGACTACATTGGGTTCATGAACAATTATTTGTCAAGGACTGATAACCATGGCGGTGGGGTATGTGACAAAATACTTAGTGAATATATACGTGTCATTTATGTATTTGAGCTAATCCACATACGTAGGCGGCAAACACATCCAATGAGTACACTTAATAAAGGTTTTATTCAAGGAGATAGTATTTAACATGAACTACATTATGTGTGGCTTCTCAATATTCTATATAGCTGCGCCACCTGCATCTTAAGTGGAACCTGCATGCCGAGGTTATTGAAAATATATTGGTTAACTTTAGTTGTATCTACAGTGTGTCACGACAGATCATGTTTATACGTCAGATCATAGGGATACCGACATATTATCTGTCAAATAAATTAGACTTCGTGTCACACATATCAGATTGCATATCTATGTTGTCATTGTTTGCAACTCGCGCAGATTCTGTATGGAAGTGTAAGCAAACAAGGTTGCTGATTTCATAATTTTGTTGCAGTCGAAGTACGAGCATACTTTTAATGTGAATGATGAGAACTGTAGACATGATTTGGCCATCAGTGCGATTGTCCAACAATACAAGCACTCTGCCTGTACAATAGTGTTGGGCAGAAGATTGTTTAATGATTGTAGTATCCTGTGCTTGTGATTTTGCACTTCCATATACCTTTGTTTGAAATTGACGGTATAATGGATCTGGAATACAATATTCAGCGTCTGGTAATAATACCCATCCATGGTTTGTGTATATACGTCGTTGAATGTGCTAACGTTGTGTTGTATTCACGAGGTATACTCGGTTGAGGTATAATATGATCTGTGTATGTAATTAACGATACATTATCAACATATATACTGGTAACCTATATGTCCTTGTGTCGAGGTCACCTAATCACATGATAACACAATCAGTTACATGTATACACATGTAGGTTGGGCTAACTTGGTGTATAATTAGTTTATTTAAAGTCGAATGATTCTCACATTTCCTGTTTCCTTCCATTTTTTTTAATCGAATAAGAATGAGGAGGGCATGTTCTACTCTGATCATAAAGTAACATAAATATATATGTGTTCTTATCACCACGTGAATCTTTGGGACATTACATTACATTGCATTCATGATATTTTCATTTTGACAGTGACGGTAATTTTTCGATTATACGGACAATTTCAATCGTCAAATGTGAATTATGGGATGTTATTAAATAGACAACAACCAGCGTTCCACAAGATTGGGCATCTAGCATGGTTACATTAAACAGCGGCTGCGTATTATATAATAATAGTACTCTTTATTGACATCGTATCCTTTATAGGATCTTAAATTACAATAAAGTGTGGATGAAAGAAAAAACAAGAAAGACAATAAAATAAAATAAAATAAAATAACATAACATAACATAAAAAATGATGAAAATAACAGAACAAAAAGGAAAAAAAAAACTTGCAGATATGCCTTGATATTAATATTGTGGTTTATTTGTATGAGAATAAAGGCTATTTCATGTTATTTTCTCTAATTTTGAATCATTCATAAATGTATTTAGCTAGTTTTATAATTGTTTTATTTTCATTGTTGTTCATCGTAGCCATCATTTTTTCTTCATCTGTCGTGTTTGGGAGTGATATTTTAGACTCAGTTTTAGTTGGTTTCTTTCATTTTCATATAATTTGCAGTTAATGTTTTTCATCTTCAATTTCGTCTATATCACAAACAGGGCATTTCCTTTTGCATGCATCTATTTAATTGTAGCGACCCATTTCTATTTGTAGAACATGAGCACTAATTCTTAGTTTAGTTAGTGCTGATCTATGTTTAGAGTCTTTTATTACTGAAAGATACTTCTCATATGAGCAGTCATTTTTTAACATGCTGTATGTGTGCGATTTGTTTTTTGGGTTTGTTCCTTTATTGTCATCCTGCATTTTTTATTGGCTGTTAATTTTGAATATTTGTTGGAGATTGTCCATAACCTTTTTCGTTATAGAGGCATCATTATGCAGATATTGGTTCTCCAACACATTGTTTTCATTTACATATTTTAATATGCTTTTCACACCAGTTACCCAGTTAGGTGTATTGTTTTTGTCAAAAATGGGAATATGGCCGCCAGTTTTCAGTATGCAAATGACACTCAAGCGAGAAACAGTGTTGTGATGGCAATCAGTGAGTGTCACTTGCATATAGTGAATCAGTGTTGTGATGGCAATCAGTGAGTGTCACTTACATATAGTGAATCAGTGTTGTGATGACAATCAGTGTCACTTGCATATAGTGAATCAGTGTCGTGATGGCAATCAGTGAGTGCCACTTACAAATAGTGAGTCAGTGTTGTGATGGCAATCAGTGAGTGTCACTTGCATATAGTGAATCAGTGTTATGATGACAATCAGTGAGTGTCATTTGTATATAGTAAATCAGTGTCGTGGTGGCAATCAGTGAGTTCCACTTGCATATAGTGAATCAGTGTTGTGATGGCAATCAGTGAGTGCCACTTACATATAGTGAATCAGTGTTGTGATGGCAATCAGTGAGTGTCACTTGCATATAGTGAATCAGTGTCGTGATGGCAATCAGTGAGTGCCACTTACATATAGTGAATCAGTGTTGTGATGGCAATCAGTGAGTGTCACTTGCATATAGTGAATCAGTGTCGTGATGGCAATCAGTGAGTGCCACTTACATATAGTGAATCAGTGTTGTGATGGCAATCAGTGAGTGTCACTTGCATATAGTGAATCAGTGTCGTGATGGTAATCAGTGAGTGTCACTTACATATAGTGAGTCAGTGTTGTGATGGCAATCAGTGAGTGTCACTTGCATATAGTGAATCAGTGTTATGATGGCAATCAGTGAGTGTCACTTGCATATAGTGAATCAGTGTTATGATGACATGCAGTTAGTGTCACTTGCATGCAGTGAGTCAGTGTTATGATGGCAATCAACGAGTGCAACTTGCATATAGTGAATCAGTGTTATGATGGCAATCAGTGATTGTCACTTGCATATAGTGAATCAGTGTTATGATTGCAATCAGTGAGTGTCACTTGCATATAGTGAATCAGTGTTATGATGCAATCAGTGAGTGTCACTTGTGTATAGAAAATCAGTGTTATGGTGGCAATCAATGAGTGTCACTTGCATATAGTGAATCAGAGTTATGATGGCAATCAGTAAGTGTCACTTGCATATAGTGAATCAGTGTTATGATGGCAATCAATGTGTATCACTTGCATATATTGAATCAGAGTTACGATGGCAATCAGTGAGTGTCACTTGCATATAGTGAATCAGAGTTATGATGGCAATCAGTGAGTGTCACTTGCATGCAGTGAGTCAGTGTTATGATGGCAATCAGTGAGTGTCACTTGTATATAGTGAATCAGTGTTATGATGGCAATCAGTGTCACTTGCATATAGTGAATCAGTGTTATGATGGCAATCAGTGAGTGTCACTTGTATATAGTGAATCAGTGTTATGATGACAATCAATGACTGTCACTTGCACATTGAATCAGAGTTATGATGGCAATCAGTGAGTGTCACTTGCATGCAAGTGAATCAGTGTTATGATGGCAATCAGTGAGTGGACATTGAATTGTATTGTATTCTGTAAAGTATTTCTTTGGCTTTCAGGCAGGTACATTTAATAGTTCTGTTCAAATATCAAGTTTTTTTGTTATCAGATTTGTTTGTTTCTAGTCTTTAATGTAATTAAGTCGTATACAAATGCAAAACTTGTATATTATTATTATTATTTATTTCAGACAGAGTCCATATAAAGTAAATTACAAAACAAAAAGAGAAAAAGAAATAAAGCTACTGATTATAATAAAATACAGTCATTAGGTTTATGCTACAAAATCAAATTATTCCAGTACCACGCCAACTGTGAGTTCCAACGTATGTCACTACTATATATTACAGAGACAATGCCATTTGTAGATGTATAAACGCGTTCAGTAAATAAAGATACTAGCTTTCTATTAAGACAAGGGAATGTTTGTACTTGTCACACGCAACGTAATATTACCGTAATTGGTATACTACAGGTGTGATGGTTCAAATACCAAAAATGGCAACAGTAACAAAAAGACTTCCCTGGCGGCGATGATAAAATACGAGCACGGAGCCAAACAGATGAGGTTTCAACTGGTACTGGTATTATTATACTCTGCAAACATCAAGTACAATAACGCGGTAAAACTCCACTA